TTGTTATAATTTTCCATGTATCAAATTTAATTACTGGAAGGTTGTCTTAAAATCCATCCCCCTCCCTCCCACAATTGCAGTGACAGAGAAAGCAGTAGTGGGGGCAAGGAGCCAAATCCCAGCCCCTTGTCCCTCCCATCACCTGCCCTTTACCTGCTATGCCCTCCCACTGCCTGCCCTCTACCTCCTACACCCCCCGTACCTGCCCTTCCCACCCCCTACAGCCTGCCGCCTCACACCGTGCCTGTCCCTACCATACTCCCTGCCCACCCGAAACCGTACCTTCCACTACAGCTCTGCCACACCTTACCTGTGCCTCCCCTGCCACCCACACTCCTTGTCCACCCCAAACCTTACCTTCTGCTATCAGCTTTACTCCTCCTGGCCACTCAGCATCAGAGCAGCCCCAGCCCCTGCCTCTCACACCCCCTGCTTCCTCCTGCAGCCTGCCCCCAGCCGCCTGTGCCTGTGCCTGCCCCCTTCTGCCCCCCCAGGCACCCACCACCTTCTGCTGTAGCTCTGTTCTGGTCCCAGGGAACTTGGCAGCAGTGTGGCCCCAGCCCAGCCCATCCTGGGAAAAGTGGTAGCAGCTCCCAGCCAGGCAGGGTCAGGGCTGGAGTTGGAATAGAACATAAGGGAGAAGGAGGCAGCTAGGGGGAAGGAGCAGGCATAGGGGGTATACATGTGACGTGTAGCAGGCTGCAGGTTTCCCTATCTCAGTCTTCCCTATGCTCCCCTGCAAAACAAATGATTCCAGCCTGGGACAAGTGGCAGCTCAACTCTGGCTTCAGCACAGGACCAAAGTCAGAGCTGAGCTACTGCCTGCCCCAGGCTGGTGCTCAAATTCAAGACAAGGCTCCCCCCGCACCACGCTGACTGGTGAAAAAGAACCTTGCCTTGGATTTGAGTAGTACATACAGCATATACCCAACCAACACTCCACAACCACCAAATATGTAAATGAATATTGTGTGTGGCCCTATCCTATCAGGATATAGCTTCCTCAGCCTTAGCACATCATTTGAAGGGTCCCCCCTGCAATCCACACTGACTACAATATTGGAAAGGAACCAGGTTAGACAACCAAGCATGCAAATGCCTGATCTTCTCAGAACCTTGATGTCATCATGCACCTTTCCAGTGCTTCACATATTGGCAATCACGGATCCATCCCAATCCCTATGATCTATAAGATCTTGCAGAACAAGAAAGTAACACACTTTGCAGTTAAGATATTTGTTAACTCCAGTTGATTTGTTAACACTAGTTAGTCACAGATCTAATGTAATCTAATTTCCAGACAGCAAGTACAATCCACTTCTGCATAAGCATGGCCTCCCTTAGTCATGGGCTCTGATATTGGAAGGTTGGAAATAACTTGACAGACAAGTGCATGATGGTGCACTTACACAGAAGTTCCTCATCCCAGGCCTGCAAAATGATAAGCAGGGACTCAGGTTTTCTGTTGGCCACAGAGAAACACAGATTTTCTCCTTGAAAGAAAATTTAAAGGATTTTCTCCTTTAAAGGATAAAAACGCAGGAAACTGTGGGTTTCTCCTTGCAGGCTGGCAGAGTTCCAGCCTGCAAGGGGCTGCTTAGGGGAACAAGAGGAGGGTGATCACAGGCTGGGGGCACCACAGGCACGTGCATATGTACACATGCACATGGCAGCCAGGAAGTGTGATGGAGAGCAGCTCCCACAGCTCGCTGCAGATAAGTCTATGGTGGGGGCATAGGTGAGGCATTGTGAGGGCAGGGGCAGGCATGTACTCCCCTCCAGCTTTCTGCATCCACAAGCAGGCATGTGGCCCAGCGGGCAGGAGCTGGTAAAACAGGGCAGCAAAACACTTTGCCATCACTGCTTCCATGAGGACCTTCACACCAGCTCCATAAGCAGCAGTGCAAAGAGTAATGGGCCAGGGTGCGGCAGCACGCTGCCCTCACTTTCTCCTGCCACCATCTGCTCATGTGCTGGGCCATGGCTCTATGCTGGAGGAGAGGCAGAGTAGGAGGCAATGTGGTGGCAGCCTGGGGCATGAGCAGCTAGCAGCAGGAGTGTACAGACAGTTCAGCCTCTTGACATTTGACAGGACTGAAATGGTCCCTTAGGCCTACCACGCCTAGCAGCTTTGACCTAAGTGGGCTAAAGTGCATTTGCAAAGCTAGCATATGCCACAGGCTATGTTATTGTGGAACTTGCTTTCTACAGAAAAAAAGGGTCTGATGTAGCTTATTTTTCTGCAAGAGTCTGATGATAAAGACTTCTTATGGATAAAAGGGTTTGTAATGGCGCATTCCACCCAGATCTGAAGCCGATTATTTCTGGTACCGAGAAGAGGGGAAAACAATGATAAAGTGAAGACGTAACCCAAGTTGTTGACGAAAAACAGAAAATTGGCTTAATTGGTAGCTACTTGACTAAAGGACTGTAAATATGATCACATGAACAAAGGAAGTTCCCCTTTCCTCCCCTCCCCCTCTTCCCCTTTCCCTCACCCTAATGATGCCTGAGAACTGAAGACAACTGATCTCCCTTTAACGAACCAGCCTGCTGAGATGCTTGGCCAGGTCTAGAGATGTGTATTATTAGGACTGATAATATACAATCACTTGCTTGCTAAGATTATATCTATATACATGCTTGGAGTTAATACGTTATAATACTCAATAAAATGGATTTATTAAAGAGTTAAATGGGTCCTTATTTGGAGGGAATGAATAGGCCCTCACTTGGAGGGAATGAAGCATACTTTAAGGCAATATCAACCCCACTGTTTGCTCTTGCTCCACTTGGGAAGAGAACCAAATGGTTCTTAGGGCAACAGGAGGAGACGAGGGCAGAGCAGACCTCCATCCCCCAGTCTGCTACTCCTCACGCTCCTGGCAGTGTGGCTGACACAGGGGTCCTGGCAGTGGCAGCAATGAGTCTTGCCATCCTGCTCCGCCCTCTCATGATGGGTCCTCCCCACTCGGTTGCAAGCTGTGGCTAGTGTCTACAGGGCAGGGACCAGGCAGGATGCAGCCACCAGGTTCCGTAGCCCTGGCAGCTGGGGGCTGCGGCTCAGGAGTGAGGGGCCAGCACAGCAAGAGGGGTGGAGGACTGTGGGTTGACAGTCAGGGGCACTGGTATGGGCAAGGGCAGGGCACTGACTTATCAGGGTTGCTCAGCACCACAAAACAGCGGGGGGACAGCCGCAGTTGGACCTGTGTCCTGGTAAATGAAGGGGGCAGAGCAAACTTTGATTTTCCGTGATAAAAAAAACCAAAAGCAAATGCCAAAATATATAGGTGTTATATATACACATACGTTTGTGTGTGTGTGTGTGTGTGTTACACACACACACACACACACACACACACACACACACACACACACACATCTATATACACACACAACAGCTTTTGTCGTCTGTAACACTTTATTCGTACTCTGACTGGTTGTCTGAAACAACCAGAGTGTTCCAACAGTGTTCCAGACAGAAGGCGGCAACAGTAAGGCAGAGCAGGGGGACAAAGCTGACGGAGCAGAGGGGCAAGGTGCTGGCCTCACCCCTGCCCCTGCTCCCTGGAGGCAGTGGCGGCAGGGGGTACTGGCCAAGGGGGACAGAGGGGACAGTGGGGCAAGCTTCTCCCCCCCTGCTCCTGGGAGGCAGCAGCATGGGGTGCTGGCAGCACAGTGCTAGTCTTACCCCCCAACTCTGGCCTCGCCACTCCCAGGCCCCAACAAAATCTGGCAGGGAGGGGGAGGTGGCAGGGAGGAGGTGGGGAAGGAAGCAGGAACGGGAAGGGCAGGGCACAGTGGTGGCACCCCACTGCGGCTGGGCCCTGAGAACAGCTGGGAGGGAGCGGCGGCAGCACAAGTGATGGCTGTGGCTGCCACATGCAAGCTTCCCCTGCTCCTCCACGCCTGGGAGGCGGCAGCTTCATGGGGTGGAGTAGTGGGGGGCAGACAAAGCCAAACGGGGAGAGCTCACAGGGCCAGAGGCAGAGCAGCAGCAACATAGGCTGGTGGGTGGCGGCACTCCGTCCCTTCTCCCCCTCACCCCCTGTCATTCTTGATGGGCAATTGGCGATTGTGTATATAGATATATAGTGGCATTTCATTTTAATTGAAGAAAAACAGAGGATTTGGAGTTTTTAACCACAGAGTTTGGGACTTTTTAAACCACATAATTTTGGATTTTTTTAATCAGAAAAAAACAGGATCCCTAACGATGGGGCGCACACAGAGAGTTCTCCTACTTGAGTACGATTGGAATTAAGATGGCAATAGCAGCATGCATTATGCCATACAAATCTGCTATATACTTTCAAATCAGTTTTATCAGATTGCTTCCCACCATCTACATCCTCCAGCAGGTCCTCCTTTCAGGTCTACGTGAATCCCAAAAAGTCTTCCAGCTTCTCTCTGCACAGCCACGTGCAATAGTGAACTGCAGTAATTTTCACCCTCCAAAACCATACTCATTGGCATGCTACAGTAACTTCTGCCTCAGGGCCAAGTTGTCTCACAATACAGAAATTGAATTATAGGACTCTGCTCTATATGGCAAAAGAGAACATAGGATCATGGCACAAGATGGAATTTCCAAAAAGGATTTGGACATCTCTGGTATGGGTTACAAAAAATTAGTGGACAAGGGAAAGGCCTGTCACATGACAAAAACTTGTAAGCTATGCTACAATCAGAAGTTCAATGAGGGATGGACAACTGGTGATGTGACTAGCTTCCTTATTTTTATTTGAAATCCTAGCCCACACATCTTTTTCTTAAAGTCTGTGATATCAAACATACACGTTCACCAGTGTTCTGAGTATCTTCCTGGGTAGACATCTGCATTTTTAAATTATAATTAAAAGCTCACAAACTCATCATTAAAACGCCTGTCAGTCTGCTTTTGTATATCCAAAAGCAATAATAATTTATTTTACCATTCACTGTAGACAACCTTCAAAGTGTCAAATAATTTAAAGCTATTTAAAATGTCATCAGCTTACCTCCCCGAGGTGCGTGAAGTTGGCTCCCTGTATTAACATTCCAAAAGGTACCTGTTCCCATGGTCAATTTAACATCTCCTGGATGAAAGCAGCATTCTCCAAAGGTGGCTGATTGCTGATCTGCCACCTGCAATAAAAAAATAAGTACAAATTACTAGCCCAAACTCCAGCTGGATTTTTAAAGCACAAGATTTTCCTCCATGTTCTCCAATACAAATGGCTCATAGTTTACAATGTACACAAAAGAACTAGACAAGACAATAACAGACTACAACACTTTTCTCCACACAGTTTGTTTGCTTTTTCCCTTCAGTTTCTTTGAAAGGTTATTTTAACAATAACCATCAAAGTCTGTCATCTTTCATCACATTGTTATTTCAGTAGTGCTCTCACCCACTAGAATAGCTAGCAGCACACTGGACATTCTGTGAGAACTTAAAATAAGTTAAAACATATTTTAACATATAGGTTTTTAATAGAACTAAATATGAATATGAATACAATCGGCATGCTATAATTCAATATTAAGGTAACTTAAAGTTAAATAGATGCCTGTGTCTTTCAATTTTTCCCCACCATACACAAGAGAGAGATTGCAGGGGTGGGCAAAGTCCGGCCTGCAGGCTGGGTCCAGCCACCAATGGAATCCATTTTCCAGCAGCCCCTGCCCATGTGGCTGGTGCCAGTTTCCACGGAGACCCCAGCAACAGCCACATTGTGACAGTGTGGAGCCAGAGTTACTGTGGAGACCAGACCCAAAAGCGCTAGCAAGGTACGCAGCAGGGCAGAGAGCTGTTCTGGGGCCGGAACAGGATCTTGCGGCAGTGACAGTGTGGTCTGGAGCTAGGGCAAAACTGCAATCTGAAGACTGCATTCTCAGGGCAGGGGCATGCAGGTGGCAGATTGCGGCTCTGCCCCAGCTCCTTGCAGCACGGTACAGAGACAGGCAGAGCCATGATCCACTGCCTGCATGCCCTTGCCTGGAGTATGCAGGTTGCAGATCACGGCTCTGCCCCAGCTTCAGACCATGCTGTCACTACTGCAAGATCCCAGCTCGGCCCTGGAGCAGCTCCCCAACCTGCAAGTGCTGTTGGGGCCAGTCTCCAAAGAAACCCTGGCCGCATGCTATCAGAGAGTGGTGGCTGCTGAGGCCCCCATGGAAACCAGCCCCAGCCATGTGGGCAGGTCAAAAGTTAGAAGACTGGTCAAAAGTAAGAAAAAAATCCCAGCCACTGTTAGCACATAGAACAGAACCCAGTTATTTTAATCTCTAGTTCAGGGCTTAACCGCAAAATTAGTCTTCTCTAGATGGTCTCTTCCACAATTACAAAAGGTTAGAAATATTTTATTTCCCCCAAAATGAAAGGTAAGATTTTGGAACAAAATTTTGCAACCAACCCTAGAATAAGAGAGCCTTAGAAATCATAGAGTACACCATATGATAAATGAACAGTTACAGAAGCTAACTAATTACAAAAGACATAAAAGATTTATACTCACCAATGCCATTATTGGAATAGGCACCCCAAATATTTCAGGGTCAACTGAGCCAAAATTGCAACTGAAAATAAATGTTCAAGTCATTGCACTGAAATCACCATTTTTTAAATTACAGACAAGAAAGAAAGGATGAGTCTTCAGCATACAATGAAGAGTCCCTTTAATCAACTATCAGTAATTATTTTTTTAAATCATTAAACTATTTAAAATATATTTTATTGGAAGAATAAAATACAAAAATTTTGAATTTAGAAATTCACACGTTTGAATTTAGAAACGAAAATATGCAACTGCACATATTTATAATTTAATTTATTTTTGACTTCACTTTTATAAAACGTTTTAAGTACCTACACAAGTTTTTGTAATATTTTTCTAGAAATAATTTATTGAATTGTGTGTCACATACTTCTTTCACAGTATGCCTTCATTTTACCTTGTGTCTTTCACTGGAGGATATATAGACATGGGGATGGACAATAATTTGCAAAACCCAGAACTCCAACTCCTCTGAAATAACAGAGAGAGAGTAAAAATAAGAATTAATCTGACAGAATAAAGGACAGTAAGTGTTATTTCAAAAGATGCTTACCGTAAAAGGATCAAACAGCCCTGTAGAACTGGCATTTGAATAATCTGTAGCATACACAGAACCTATAATTAAATTAAAAGTTTTAAATGCCTGAAATTTAGAGTCAATAGAAGCAAATCTATG